GTGCATGAACTCACTGCACTGTGAGAGCTTCAGGACTTCCAGGAAGCGCTGGCAACCCTGAGGACGAAGAAGCGGACTGTGTGCCTTGTAACGCTGGGATTCTTCTCCATGTGTCTAAACAGGTTCTGCTGGGCTCTGACTCCCAGCAGGCCAGGTGGAGGGCAAGCAGAGGGCTGGGAGGGGTGGCAAGGCAGCTGGGAGTGGGAAGAGAGCTGGAGTTTTTCCTTAGGTAAAAATAAATAGAGCGGTTATCTGATATTGCCAAACGCAGCCTGACGATGGGGAGAAAGCTGGTATTTTAAAGAAGGAGCAGAAGGACCATGTCTGGGTTCCCAAATCAAAATCCTTGCCTTACCCTCAAGGAGAATAAGAAAGGAGGATGGAAAAGAAAAGGAAAAAAAAGTAAAATAAAAAAAAAAGTCAGATCACCAATGAGTAGGTGGGGAGAGGGGCTGGGCAGCTGCTGGCCCAGCTAAAGGTGGGGGCAGCGCAGGACACACTTGTCTCTCGGGCACCCCATTCATGCTTTCTCTTTTGTTTACACTTCCTGGGGGCTTTCTAAATGACTTTGTTCACGCTGCCTCTGGTCTTCATTGGCTGGGATGTGGGGGTATGTGCAATTAGAAGGCAGGGAGGACAGGCCCCTGGAGAGCAGTCCCAATAATCCACTTGGACGCAGGGTCACCAGCACCCCGGCTTGTCTTCTCCCTCGGCCATTGCTTCTCTTCCCTGCTTCTCTTTAAAAAATAAAAAGGAAAAGAAAAATAAAAAAGAAGGCAGTTCACTGTACGTCTGTTCCGGGAAGCTGTTATTCCTTCTTTCTCAGGCTTCTTCCCCTATCTCTTGCCTCTGTCTCGCTCATTCTCTTGGACTTGGCTGTCTGCTTCCCTCCCTTTCTCTCCCTCCTGCTTCTCCCTCTCCCTCCTGCTTCTCTCTCTCTCCCTCTCTCCCTTTCCCTCGTTCCCTCTCTCACACACACACAAGCACACACACTGCTTTCTCTATTTCTCTGTGCTGAAATTTTATACCTCCCTCCCATGACGTCTCGGGCCTGGGATGGGGGAGGGAGGGACCAGCGCACGCAGCCTCTTTTGCTGCCCGATTTTAATGTTTTAAACAGGCACAGAAAAAGTCGAGCCCATTTGAAAAGTAGTTTGCGAGTCCTCGCGTTCGAGGTGGTAACTGAACTTTTTTTCCTCTTTGGGAGTCACTCCTGCTACACGTTGACTGTTTTTCTGGAAAGTTACTCCGATGAATCCCCTCCCTCCTGCTCCCCAGACTCCGGCGCCCTCTCGCCAGCTGTCAGTCTGTCCTCCCCTCCCTGCCCCTCTGGCCCGGGCCGCCCCGGTGCCAGACCGGACACTGGGCAGTGTCAGGAGGGAGAGCGGGGCCTGGCGGAGTCAGCCGTGCCCACCCGCGGGCGGCGTGACGCCCGGCCTGGCAGCGGGGTGGGATTCAGCTCCGCGGCTATCCTGGCTCCGATTCTTCATTGACAAGATTGGAGCCGGGCGGCTGGCTGAAGCTTGGAGACGCTCCAGAGGCAGTGAAAAATGGTGGCGTTTGCCGGAAGACCGAGGCTGCCCTCTGGCGAGGCGAGGCCGCCAGTGAAGGTGGCTCCGCAGTCGGGAGCCAGGAAGACGGGGAGGGTGGGGGCGGGGAAGGGGCTGGGGGAGAGGGAGAGAAAAACAAGGCCCGCGGGCCTTGGGGTATAAGCTTCCCTCTCGGCCAGAAGTGCGTACAAGTGCACCTCTCCCTTCCCGGAGCCGCGGCTCTGGAGCGGCTCTCCGCAGAAATGTCATCCAGATGTTCGCAGGCGCCCTCCCCACCGATGGTTCCGCAGGGAGCTGCGCCAGCAACGCAAAGTCAGCAATTGGCCCGCGCCCATTTCCCAGATGGGTGAGGGGACGCTTTTCTCCTCATTCGTTCCTCTTCTCAGCCTAAGTTTCTAGGTCTTTTCCCATGAGAAGATTAGGGAGGGTCAGGCATATTGCTTCCCCCCGCCCCCCAAACCAGGGCTTGCCTCTGAACCGGTCACTTTCCTGGGATACAGTGTTGCCCCCGCCACCGTCCCACCCCACCCCACCCCACCCC